CTCTCTCTCTCTCTCTCTCTCTCTCTCTCTCTCTCTCTCTCTCTCTCTTTCTCTTTCTCTCCTTCTCTCACGACCTCGCGTTCGATCCTTCGCTCGGGACCACCGACTGGATACAGCCGAGCGCGGACGTTCTGCGCGACCCGCAACTGGTTCCACGAGTGTCCTGGAGCCGCCCGATGACCCCGCTCGACCACGACTGACTTCTTTGACCGGCCCGAAGGAATCGTTCCGAGCTATCCGTGAATTTATACATTCAACCAGTGGCACAAAAGTTGCAATATTCCCTTTTTCCGATGAGTTTCGCAATGCATCTAGCAGAGGAATTTGTTACTTGCTAATTCCCAGGGAATTAACTTTCCCATTGGATGCCGAAGCTTACAGAGAGAAAAGTGTTTTGCTACTGACTAGATCTCTCTGATCGTGCACATCTCAACATAGTGGTACTGGTATCGAATTAATATAGTTAATTATTAAATAAGAAACGAATTGAAATAAATACGACATACCAAATAAATACTAATTAACAACTATTTATGACATAATTACACAGTGAAATATAATTATAGTTAGAAAGAGAAATAATTGTATATAGTTTAACGTTTTTGTATTGTGTCTACTGTAGGGACGTTAGCGATGACAATTTCATGTGCACAGATCGGTATGATACAAAAAGATACGGTTGATGTAAAAAATGACAACAATTTCAGGGATTGCAGACATTAACTATTTTTCTCCTCTCAATGTATCGATTTTCTTTCTCCGGTTCACATGCCGGCTGTACCGTGTACACACGCAATTGGCAAACGTAACGCAGACGAAACTATAGTGTGGTTCGACCCTCGTGGGTGGTTTTGCCGAGAGACGTAACGTTTTATCGTCATGCGCTCGAAGCATGCTCGAGCTGACGATAAATCGATAGTCCTCAGCTCCTTGCTACTCTTGCACCCGCAGAATAGTACACTACGTTTTCAGCATCCTTTTCTTGTCGATCTCCCCTCCTATGTATGGTCCACGTCGAAAGCAAAATGTTATTTCCTGAAGGAATTATCTCACCCTCTCCCGATTATTTCGTTGCCCGCGGAAACATACAGGAAACACAGACATATGGCACAGACTATCCCCTTGCTGGGGATTTAGTCGGTATCAGTGAGATGTTTTTCTTGTCTAATTCTCTAGTTGGTGGGGAGAATGAAAGAGAAAATCACACGATCAATGCACTGTAAGAGAAAAAATATCTAAGAAATAAAATAATATTTCTAAAAAAAGAATTTCTTAAAAAAATATCAGTGCACTGTAAGAGAAAAAATATCTAAGAAATAAAAAAGTATTTCTTTGGTAATTGTGTGCTAATAACATATTTAATCTATGTTAATAGAAAATATTTTTCAGATAAGAAAATACATACTACCGTAAAACCTCAGCTGTCCACGAAAGTAATTGTTTATTTTATTCAAATAAAAGAATGTGAGAGGAAAAGTACCTAAGAAATAAAAAAAATATTCCTTCGCGGTGAGTACTAATAATACATATCAAAAAATTCATACTTCTATTCATTTGCAACTTTTTACAAAGTTCCCCAAAGTTTACCTAACTTTTAGTCCTGTCGGAGTCCTGTAACTTCCTTAAGTCTACGCTGTGAACACGCAAACGAAGTGGGCGAACGTCATGCGCTCAACGGGTGCACTCGTCGACCTGTAGATCTTCGAGACAGAGAACGGAGAGCTCGCGGAGAACGCATCTCTCACAGTGTCGAGTTGCAGGCCGTTTAATCGCCAGGATCCCGTTTCAGCTATGCCACGAGCGATTTATTCGCGGAATATCTTCCGATACGATCAGACGGAAATTAGAGACGCGGATAGGAAGAACGGGCCTTGCTGCTACTACTCGTCATCGCGTCTAATCGACTCTCTCGTTATTAAAATTCGTTTTGTGCAGCGCGTTTTGCTTACCGAAAGTTGGTCACTTTTGATTTGGTGGTTACAGTAAACGCAATTACAGTTTTAGATGACGTTAACGAAAACAATTATTACTTCTGTCGTTGCGGAAACTGTAACAATCAGTTTTCTTCTTGTGAGTGACGGATAATGTAAAGTAACGTGTAAAATTGGAAAACGGAGCGTGCGAACTCGATTCACGACGCGATCCATCGCGACCGCGTCGCATCGACCGGCGTTGCGGTCGGCGTCGCCGTGACATTTTTCCGTATGGTCAACAGACGCGGCACCGCATAAATAAATCTCGGGACTATGTGTACTCTGATACACGCCGCGAAGGAGAATAACACGCTTCTGAGCGATAACCGTAAACAATACACGCTCGGTTGTATTTTGCAAAATTCCCCGACTGGGAATCGTTTACAAACGGAATAAGGGAAATAGGACAAAAGTGAGAAGGAACAGTTCCTCTTCTCTCTCTCTCTCTCTCTCTCTCTCTCTCTCTCTCTCTCTC